CAGAGCGTCTGGTGGATTCGAACCGTGTTCCTCTGGGACTGCAGTTCAGTTTCTTGCCACTAGGCCACCAGAGCTCCCCACCTTTTCAATCTATATGCAGATCATCTGGGAGGCTGGGCTCTATGATGAGAAATGTGGCATCAGGACTGGAGGAAGACTCATCAACAACCTGCATATGGATTGAAGTTCTACATCAAGAAAAGATTCTCACCACTGGGCTGATTGGCAGTATCATGATAGACGGTAAAGAGATTGAGATTGCTTCCATGGGAGTTGGACCACAGAACAAGGTAAAATGCAATCCTTGACAACTGTTGTGAATAAAAGTTTACCAACCAAGTAAGATTTTCATTCAGGAGATTGTATACGTTATTGCATGTCTGTGTCCCTGAGTAAAATCTCCAAGTGACAGTGCTTATCTGATCTTCCATTTCTTTCTCATTTATGTTCCTCCCTCCTGGGTAAGGAATTGTGCTGTCAACCCAAAGGCAGATAGTTCAAATCTACCAGCTGCTCCATGGAAGAAAGATGGGCCATATTCTCCTATGTGATTTTCAGCCTCTTAAAACCTGCTGGTGCACACCCATGTTTATCGCGGCTCTGTTCACAATAGCAAGGAGTTGGAAACAACTTAAGTGCCCATCAACAAATGAATGGATAGAGAAGCTGTGGTATATTCACACAATGGAATACTACGCTGCGTTGAAAAACAAAGAACTTATGCAATATTATTCAAAATGGGTGACCCTGGAGGACATTATGCTGAGTGAAATATCTCAGTCACAATAGGACAAATACTGCATGGTGCCACTGTTGTAAAACAGGACTGACATTGGGTTGGGAGGGAGAATGAGAAAGATGGGATAAATAATGTATACTGCATTGAAACAGATGAGGGAGAAAACTGTTTAAAAGGGTTATGTGATAAGGTATTTTTGTCATGACAGGAGTCCAGAGCAAAGGCTGCATAGTGGAGCGGACCTGGGGGGAGGGATTGTAAAACAAAAGAATTTTTCTTTTAGTTTTCCAAGAGGGGAGTGTACTGGGTGGGGAGAGGTGGGCAGGAAGAAAAGTGCAACAATGAATGAACAGAAATCCGAAGTCTCTGTAAATTTTCAATGAAATAAAAAAATTTTTAAAAAAACTGCTGGAAGGTCAGCAATAAGTTAGTTGGTTCTAACTTGATACTTAACCACCATTCAGTGTTTTGCAAATTCTTTACTGTTTGTTAGTGTTGTGTGAGTGGCATCCACTTCCTAAACAACATGCCTCTGGAAACTCTATGAAACTTGAATAAATGATGATAGTTCTAGAGAGGCTTCAGGTCTTTTGTTCGTTAGGGTGGTTATGAGTCATGCTCAACTCAATGGCAATCAACAACAACAATACTCCTTTATCCAGGACCATGAAAATGAAAATAAGGGTCCATAAAGATGAAAATGGAAGTTTATAGAAACTGAGATTTCCATTCATTCATTGTTGCACTTTTCCCCCTGCCCAACCTCCTCCCTCCCAGAACACTCTTCTCTTTGAAAAGTAAAACTTTCATTGTTCTACAACCCCTCCTCTCCCAAGTCCACTCCAAGCCTTCGATCTGGAATCCTGTCATGACAATAATACCTAATCACATATCCCTTTTAAACAGTTTTCTCCCTCATCTGTTTCAATGCAGTATGCATTATTGAACCCGTCTTTCTCAGTCTCCCCCCAACCCTGATGTCAGTCCTGTTTTACAAGAGTGGCACCATGCAGTATTTGTCCTTTTTTGACTGATATGTCACTCAGCATAATGTCCTCCAGGGTCACCCGTTTTAAATAATATTGCATGAGTTCCTTGGTTTTCAACTCAATGTAGTATTTCATACCAGAGCTTCTCTATCCATTCATTTGTGGATGGGGAGTCCCACCTTTTTTAAGAGAGAAAGAGAGCAAAGATGAGAACTTGACAGCTGCCAAGAACTAGGAGGGAACCTGGATAACAGGGTCGAGATGCTGCCAGACTTGAGACAAAGGAGAGAGGAACCAGGAGGCAGTACAGTGGGCTTCCTGGTCCTGGCAGGAGGCCTGCTCATGAAAGATGCCTCTGGGACAACTGATGAAGCAAAACCTTTTGCTTAAGCAGGTCAGGGCAAGGGGACAGAAGGCTTCAGAGAAGGCTGCTATGGGCACAGTGGAGGAAGCACTGCCCTAAGAAATCCCTGATCTTGAATCTAACTGCTATGTGGAGGAGCAGAGTGCATGGTGTCAGAGCTGGTGAAAAGGCTGGAGGGTGGAGGTGTGGCCACGGGTGCAGGGTCAGCCGTGCGCTGATTCATCCCTGATTTTCCTCTGGTGAAGTTAGACTGCTTCCTGCCACGTTCATGGGTGCTCAATCAATGCCAATGCATGATGGCTGAGTTGGACTGCCCCATGGGGTCTCCTGGCCTGTAACAGTCACATATGCTGATTGCCAGGCCTTTCTTCTGCAGACCAGCTGGCTGGGTTCCAAGCAGCAGCCTTTCAGCAGCCAGGGGCTCATTCACTGTACCCTAGGGCTCCCCTCTCCGTGACGCTCTACATCTCCTTAGAGGACCATTTGTCCCACATTGTCACAGGGCCTTATGTTCAGTACAGTGGTCTCCGTACCTCTTAACATGGACACCGTGAGACTGGCCCTGACAAGAGCTCAGGCAGCAGGGGTTGTGGTCACAGGCAGCAGTTCAGCGGTCCACTGGAGGGAGGTCTAGTTGTTTGGCATAAACTCCCAGTGTCCACCCTTCCAGCCTGGAATAAAACTTGTTCCATGACTCAAGTCAAATGATGGGTCCATGAGGTGACCAATAGTACCAGTGAGGTACTCATTCCTCAGAAAAGCCAACCACGTAAGGGGGGAAAGGGCAGCCAGGAGGTGGTACAGGGGAGGATGCAAGAATTAATGGAAACGGGACTCACAGGGAGGGAGTGGGTAGTGTGGTAATACCATGGCTATAGTAATTAATAAAACAAAATGGGGAAATGGTTGGTTGGAAAACTAATTTGCTTTTGGAAACTTGCACTCACATAACAGTAACAGAAAAATTCACAATGGTATCAGAACATCAGATAAACTCAAGTGTCTCAGTATCTTCCTGAGACCAAGGTTCAGCACATACACATACTCTCAGATCAGGGAAGGTCAGCTGAGGGATAGAGGGACCAGGCCAGCAGGCTTTTTTTAAAATAACTGCATCCTTTAATGGCAGTAATACAATTACCGGATTAAGAGACCACAGGAGAGAGGGCAGGTGACGCTCTGGAAGACAGATACCAAGTACAAAAAGGGGGCGGGACAGTCATGCGGCGATCATTGTAAAAATACAGTACATTATATACATGTGTGCACCATCAACTCTCAGCCCTGACATCGTATTTACACTTTTGTTACAATCCTGGCTAGAGAACAATTCATTTTCTTTAAAAGCTCCGGCTTGATGGCAAACGGGAATTGCAGGTGAAGTCACTGCCCCCAGGAGGCTCTTGGGTAAAATTTCAGGAGGAGGGATTTAGCTTCTAGTTCATCCACAGATTTCAGTGGTTGTTTTTTAAAAAAGTAGTTCATTTTCTTTTTTTTTACAAAAGAATAGGCTCAAAGTTGGGGAGGTGGGTGAACGAACAGACCACCACCACACTAGACTTTTATTTCATTAGCTCCCGCTTCAAGGCCAACACTGGAGGCTGAAGGGACAAAAATCTCACTAATGATTGTTTAAAAACAAAACAAAATGAAACAAAACACACAAAATGACAAAGTAAACCCACCTGACAGGCATGCCAGCAGGCCTCCTCATGCTGCTTCTGGCCCCAAAACCCCAAGGGCAAGGGGGGGGTGCCTCTGGTTGGGGACCAGGTCCCTGCCAGTGAGGAGGAGATGGGCCCTGAGCGGGGCAGCAGATGATAAGAGACAGGAACAGAGTGTCAGATAAGCCGATTTCTGGGGACCTCTGCTCTTGTCCCAGTTGTGGTTGGCTGTGTCCTGCTCCTTAAAAAGACTTAGCAGAGCTGCTGTCGCCCTAGCTGCAGCCTCTCCCGTTCCCCTCAGGTCCTGTCCACACATCCAACACCATACTGCACCTCTGAACCCGGCTTAAAGGAGGGGAACCACACACACACACACACTCCGATACTGCTAGTTCTACAGACGTGGTGCAAAAAGGTGCAGAGACGGGAAGGGGGGAGGGATGAAATACTTTCTCAAGAACCCCCAACCTCTGGGGGTGAGAGCCTGGGGTGGGAGTGGCCACATCGCGGATCCATGAGCTGTCTCCAGGGAGCGGGGTTAGGGTTAGGGTGCACAGTGCAGACACATCAGTGATGAGGGGGTGTGGCCGAGACAGGACAGGTAATACTGACGACACACGGGGCGGGGTCATGGAGCTGCCACCATGGGAGCGTTTCTTCCTGCCACCAGCCCCCGCGTCTGTGTCCATCTCTCACCCTGGAGCCTCTGGACTGAGCAGGGTGTCAGCTTTAAAAGACCAACTCCAGATGGAGGGCTGGCAGCTGCCAGGCAAATCTCTTTAAGAGATGGCAGAGGCCAGGGCTGCCTCCCAGCTCTGGAACTGGGTGGCTCTTGGTTTGCTCTGCCTCCCCAACTCTCAAGGTGGTCCGCCTCCTCTGCTGAGGGCATGGGGCTGGCAGGCATTTCCATTTTAGAAAGGCCTTGGTCCTGCCCCATCACCTCGGCTGCCCTCTGTCCACCTCAGCATGCTGCCCATTGTCCTCAGGATGCGGGTGGCAGGGAACGCTCAGCCACTGGTGCACAGAGGGGAGGGGGTCCGGCCTCTGTCCGAGGCAGAGGCCTGAGCCCGAGAGCCCGCAGCACTGACCACAACTGAAGGTGGTTATGTACAATTTATGTTTCAAAGCAAGTACTACTTAAAAAAAAAGAAAAAAAAAAAAAGAAGACCAAGACACCAGGCCCTGCCCACTACCAAGTCTGGGTCAGGCCTGGGGCGGATGGAGGGCATGAGCTTTGCCCTGCACTACTGGCAGAAAGGGGAGGCAGTGGGGTCAAAGCCTTTAAAAACATCCTTGAGGGAGCCTGCGTCCTGCTCACCCTCGCGGGCCGGGCTGTTGCCAGCAAACGGGCTTCCAGTGCCAGTCTTGGGTGCCTGCTTCACAGTCCCAAATAGGGTGGGAACGGGAAGGTTGTGCACCCCAGGCTGCGGTGCGGCACCCTCTGGTGGCGGGGTCAGTGCAGTGGTGGTGGTGGGGGCCGCTGCGGCCTTGGGCCGGGGCCGGTTGTAGCTGTTGTATCGGTCTGTGGCCGGGCACCCGTCTGCACCAGACTTGGTGGCTTCAGGCTGTTCCAGGGCGGACTTGCGGACGAAGGGCGGCTCCTTGGCCTTGGTGGCGGTGGGGGTGCCCTTACCATTGCCCTCGGGGCCCTTGGGCTGCGTGCTCCCATCAGCAGCCGGCTCTGCAGCCTTGCCCCCGGCATGCGGAGTCCTGGGGTCGTAGAGGCTGATGCCACTCAACACGTTGCTCTGGCCACTCCCACTGCCCTGGCCCAGGCCACCGGCTGCCAGCACACGCGGGTCGTAGGGGGCAATGGCTGGGGGCGAGGAGCCGCCGCTGGGGCTGCCAGCAGGTGCCGGTGCCTCTGTGGGACTAGGCTTGGCTGCTCGGGAGGTGCCGGCAGGGTCCGCTGACTTCTGCAGCCGGGGGTCAGTGGGGGCCTTGCGCACCCGAGGGTCACTGGGCTTTTCACTGGGGGCCCCTGAGGAGCCACTGGTGCCGACAGTCTTGAGGATACGAGAGAGGAGCTCAAAGTCGGGCAGGCTGGAGACGGACGTGCCAGGCTCTGTGGTGGCACCAGGGCGCTGCCGGGGGTTAGGGGGCGCTGTGGTGGAGGAGCGGTGCAGCCGGGGGTCCAGGGCTGGCATGGCCTGCAGGGCAGCGGGCACAGGTGGCACCACATCCTGCTTGGGGATGGGCAGGGGGATCAGGTCCTCGGGGTTCCAGAGCACCGTGCGGGCGAAGCTGGGCCGGCTCAGCGTCACATCTTTCTTGATGTGGCTGAACTGCTGCAGCTGCGAGCGTGGGTCCCGCAGGGGGTGTCCGGGCAGGGGGTCCAGGGGGATGTTCACGGCCTTTTCCCGCAGAGCACGCTCCCCTTCCTCCTCTTCAGCAGAGGGAGGCCCGGACCCCTTGGTGCTGCCAGGGCCCGCGGGGCTGGTGTGGAGGCTGCCATCAGGCTTGGGCACAGGCAGTGAGCGGGCCAGCCGGGGGTCAGAAGGCCCGGAGTCCCCAGATGCCGGCCCACTGGAGGCCTCGGCGTGTCTGCTGAGTCTGGGGTCCCGGCTTAGGCGGGGGTCTGCCAGCCGGCTGCCTGTGGCATGTCCCTTCTGGAGGCGGGGGTCCCCCAGCCCGCCACTGCTCAGCTCCCCAGCTGAGGCCTGGGGTCGGCTGGATGTCTGCTGCCGCAGGGTCTTGAGGATGGAAGAGACGCTGCTCCCACCCTCATCCTCGTCACTCGAGTACCAGTTTCCTGTGTCGCCTGAAGGAGAGCAGAAGGGCCAGTCAGAGGCAGAAGACCCTCCTCACCTCCCTCAGAACCTTAGCTTCTCCTGAGATCCCCCCTCCACTGGGGATACCATGAAGATTTTGGAGGGCAAAGCACAGGCTGCTGGCTAAGGTTCCCCCATCATCATGTGTAGGCACTGTTCCTCTCTGTCCCCTGTGGTATATGGGGGAAAGCACTGTGAAGGTGCCCATTAGACAGCAAAGAACCCCCCCCAGATTTCCAAGGTTCTATTGTTCAAGCCGACGGGTGCACCCACTCGGCTGTCGCGGTGCCTCATCCCAGAAGTCACTGGGCTCAAGGGTTCACGGGAGGACCCCCAAGCCCTCTCCATCTCCAAGGAGGGTGGGCCCCACTTCTCCCAAGTCCCAGGGTTAGACAGGGAAGTCTTGCAGCACCACAGCTGGTTAGAGACAGTCTGCGGAACAGGGAGCGGTGGGAGTGAAGCCTGGGCCACCCCTGCTCAGCTCTGTCTCCCTGCTATCCCACTGCCATCAGGTACCCCCACAACCCCAACACATACCCCACCCCACCCAGGGAGAGTAAACCAGAATGAGCCTGTGGTACCAACTCAGTGGATGGTTGGTGTTAACTAGACATCTGTCCCGAGTGAGCAGCTCTATCCACTCCTGGGGACCCAGTTTAGAGCAGATGCTACAACCACTGTTTCCAGCAAGCCCAGCCCACTGCTCCTTGATGGAGTCTTTCTCCCCCACTCCTACTTGATAAGAGTCCTTCCTCACCTACTCCTCCTTAATAGAGTCCTCCCCCCAGTCCTCGATAGTCCTCTCCCCCGAGCCCACTCCTCCTTGATGGAGTCCTCTCCCCCGAGCCCAGCACCAAAGGCAGCCTTGACTTTCTTGTGCCACCATCCAATTTTCTCAGGGACATGCAGCAAGCAGCCTCAGCCTGGATATGTGACCCAGGAAGGGGTCTTCCCTGACCACAGGCTCCTCGCCTTTATGAAGCCCCACGACCCCAATCTGGGTGCTCTTTGGGAGGCCTTTCCCGGGGAGGACACATGCCTTCCTCATTCTCCCGGTCCTGTTTGCTGTTCTCAGCCAGCCGCCTCGCTCTCTCCTCTTCCTCCTGCTGCTTCTGCTGGATCCGCAGGTACAGGGCCCGCTGGGCTGAGGGCAGGAAGTCAGGGACACCAGCTCCTGGCTTTGGCCGGCCTTGGGGCCCGCCCTCAGAGAAGCTATCAGACTCCAAGGGGAGGTCTGAGAAGAGGTGCTCCCCAGGGCCCCCAGCCAGCTCTTCACAGTGCCCGTAGTCCTCTGTGGCGGGAAGAATCAGGGTTCGCATTGGACAGGGCCCATGGCACCACTGCCAGCACCCTCACCCTCAGCGGTAACGCCCGACCCCACTGCTGTCCCAGGGCCACCAGACCTGGGGACCCCAGGAAGCCTGACTATGGAGAGCATCCCCACCCTGCTAGTGTATCCACAAAGCGCGCTGGGGGACCTGGGCAGATGTGGATGAGGTGAACACAGGACAGACGTCTGCACATCTGTAAAAAGCACAGACATAAGATGCACCCTTTGGGAATAATAGGACTTGGGGGAGAGGGAGCCGGATGAATGGTCCCCCTCAAAAAGCACATGCTGCTGACTAATGACGAGCAATGGTTTCAAGGTTTCTTTCTCTATCCCTCTATTCAATAAAAGGGAAAAGAAAATTCACCTTCTGTCCTAAGACACACTGAGCCATGTTCAAAGACAACAGAAATAGGCAACAGGCCAGTCACAGGACGTCCTTCCTCCTCACAGGTTTACCAGCTCCACGCATTTATAAGCACGTGATCGCACTCATGGGGTCCAGCGGGGAGTCAGTCCCCTGGGAAGCATCAATCTGAAGGAGCTAGGGTGGAACAGTGCTTAAAGTGCTTGGCTGCTAACCAGAAGGTTGGGGTCTGAATCCATCATTCATTATGAAGAAAGATGAGAGTTGGCTTCCATTAAGACAGAGCCCTGGAAACCTGAAGGCGCTGTTCTGTTCTGTGGGGTCAATACGAATCCTAATCGACTCAGCCTCACCTGACAAGAGGAGGGGATCTACGTGCATGTGGTTTGATGGGCCACCATCACCCTTTGGGATGGCACCCAGCACCCGGAGCAACAATGGGGACCCACCTTGAAGGGGGAGCTGCAGGTTCAGGTCAACTCTTAGCCCCATTGGTGTAATGACTAAGAAAGTGTCTGGCTACAAACCGAACCAGGTTGGTGGTTCAAACCCACAGAGCAGATCCTGAGGACAATGACCAGCCAATCTGCTCCTATAAAGACCGTAACCAGAAAACCCGATCTGCCGGTCTGCTCTGTCATGAGATGCCACCAGGAGTCATACCCGACTCCAGAGCACCACGTTCCTGACACTGAGGAGGGCAGAGGACAGTGCTAATGGGGTCACAACTACCCCAACTATCAAAAACCAAAACCCAGTGCAGCTCACATACAAAACCAGCACGGTGACTGGGAAAAGTGAATGGTCCCTTTCTTCTGTCCTCTGACCTCTGTTGTGTAGCTCGGTGGTGAGCTGGCTCCAGGTCACTCTGTGGACGCAGAGCCTGAGACACATCAGGGAAGGGGTCCCTCTACCATGGAACTGCCTGTCAGGAGAAGCTCCAGGAGAACCAAAGGCTCAAGAAGAAAGGAGTCCACAGCCCGATGTTCACACAGACAACTTCCACTAGCCAGAGAGCAGACGAGCTGGACAGTGCTCAGCCACCACACCACCAACTGCTCTGACCAGAGATAACACAACTTCCTGGAAAGGAGGCCAGAAAAGGGTAGGACAAAGTTCCTCAAACACACACCAAAACCTGGAAGACTTACTAGCTGGTAAGGGACTAGAAGAACTCCAACACCCTTTGAACTTGGAATGAAAGCCACTTCTTGAGATCAACCTTAATCTAAATAACAGGTTACTCAAAAACTCACTAGGCTTCCGATGGGTGGAGACTGCCTATCTTTTTAAGGAGTGGTTGGGAGACTGGAGCCAGCAGAGAGGCCTGACCTTTGGGTTATAACACGTAATAACACAGACTCCCTTCTTCATGCAGAGGGAAGGCCTGCCTCACTCCAAGCTGTCCTCACAATCTGCCACACTCTGACCCACTGCTGCAGCCACTGGGTCCCTCATCGCCCTCAAAAAATCTCCCTTAAATAATCAATTCTACAAAACCAGAGGGTCATTAAGCACCCTAAAAAGAGGCAGGGGGTGACATGCATGGAACCAGAAAATGGAAATAATAAGGATGCTGACACAGGGTGATCAATGTAACTGATGTCAAGGAACAAGTCGTGTAATAATATAAAATGAGAGCCTCATTTTCTCTGTGAACTTAGCCCTAAAACACAAATAAAATACTGGTGGAAACAGTGACTCACTACATCTCTAGGGTACAAAATGCAAGGACAACCACAACTGGTTTGATGATCACAAGAAGGAGGTTAAAACCAAGCACATTTTTACACCAGCAACTGGAACTATTGTTGTCCAGAAAGAGGGTATGCTCACCCCCCCTGCGAAAGCACATGAAGCTGTGGGAGCCGGGTCTCCAGGGGACTGGCCTGCCTTTGCAGGGCACAGCATCACTACCTCACTGTCCTCTCAATAGAGGTTTACAGGGTCTAGTGACTAATCCGACAGACTGCACACTTTAGAGGTAGATTTTGTCACTATCTTAATTTTTTTAAAAGTGAGCTACACGCTAGAGACCTACTGTTCTCGCCTGTCCGCCTTCTGCACGCACATCCAACACACAGCTCTTCATGGTGGTTCTGGTCGGTGTCCACTGTCCCTTTTCTCAAGCGCTGCCTGCTCTGCTGATGGCTGCGGTGGCACTTGGCTCACCTGCCTCACCGCACCAAGTCCACCCCCGGCCAGAGCCCTGCACACTGGCATCTGCAGCCTGGTCTTCTCCCCGGCTCCCCTCCAACTACCTCTTCCAAATGTCCACTGGGTCAACAAACTGACAGGCATCACACGCCCAGTGCCAACAGTGGAGTCCTGACACCCACCCCCTGCCAGTACTACCATGGCTCTCCCCAAGAGTCAGCATCCATGGATGGTCACCCCCCCGCTAGTCTTGGTCCAAGCAGGGACCCTCATGCTTCTGTTTGTCTTTGAACTATCCTGGCACGATGGTGCCAGCTCCCAATCAAAACCCCAAACCTGCTCTGGCCAGCCATCCCGGCAGTTCCATCTCTCAATCCCACTCTCAGCCTTGACAACCCACTGCTTTCCCCACCAGCAGAAGTGGAGGCGGGCGCCCTCGCGCAGCGTGCACTCTTCTCAATGAGTTGGGCATGGGGTGCTCATCACAGCAGCCTTCTCCTCACGTACCATCCACTTCACAGAGGGACTTGGCCCCGCTTGGCCCACTTCCCCCGCTCACTCCAGTCTACTCCCTCCTCTCCTTAGGCAGCTTCCTTGTTCAGTGACAGTGGCCTCTCTGCATCCCTCTAGTTGGGATGTCACTAAGGCAGTGATCAGGGATGTCCTGCTCTGTGACCCCCTAGAGCCTGGAGCACCTAGCACCTGTGTCCTCCCTTGTGGGGTGACCCTGGCCCGGCTCATTTCACCTCATCCTGATGCCAGGCTGCTCAGCTGTGACGAGTAGGCTATCTTTTATCAGTGAGAAAGGAAGGAAATCGATCACAATTCCAGAAACAGCATCACGGGCAACATAGGCAGCCTGAGTCACCCGGTGGGACCTGCTCTGCCAGCACACAATGGGGCCGTCCACCTCTATGCCCACCACCGCTTACCCTGACCCCCGTATTCCCCCTTTCTAGGGAGTCTGATGACGCAAAAGAAGTTCGATCAATCCGTTACTCTCATCAGAGAGCACCTCTCTACCTCGACAGAGACCCCAGGTGGACACAAATGTACAACTTGAGAGGAAACTCCAGCTTCTCACCAACACCCCACTCCACCCTGGTCTCGCCCGCTTACCTGAGTCCCCCAGGAGCCCTGACTCCATCTCCATGCCCTCCTGCTGCTGGTAGAAGTTTTCGTAGAAGTTCTGGGCTGGTGGGATGGAGGGCATCATTCCAGAATGTGGTGAGTCTTCAGGGCCATAGGGCATCATTGGGGGACCTCCAGGCCCCATGGGGGGACCAGTATTCATGCCAGGGCCCATAGGCATGTCCGGGTGCACGTCTGGATGCATCTCTGGGTGCATGTCTGTATGCATCTCTGGGTGCATGTCAGGGTGCATTGGTCCCCCCATTGGTCCAGGGGGTCCCATGTTAGGCCCAGGGCCCATAGGTCCTTGGGGTGCACCAGGTCCAGGGAACCTAGGAGGAGAGACATGGTACCTGTGAGGGACAGCCCAAGTTCAAGGCCCAGAACTAGAAGAGCTCTGAGAAGAGGTAGGCTCCTAGTGACCACCTGAGGACAAAGGACTCGGGGGAGCCTGGACCCGCCCTGAGGGTCCGGCTGCCAGCTGGCACTCACCTCACGCCCAGCTTCTCTGCCAGCTGCCCTGTGGGCCGGACTTCAATCTCAAACAAGGAGGGGATCTTCTTGTTATACATGTTCTGCTGCTGGGGCATCTGCTGCGGGGACAGTGGCTCGTGCACAGGCATGGGCATTTGAGGCGGCCCAGGTGGTGGGGGTGGAGGTGGGGGCGGGGGGCCCCCCTGCATGGGCCTGCCGTTGGGAGAGGTCGGGGCTGGGGGGCCCGGGGGGCGAGGTGGAGTGGGCAGGAGGCCCACACCAGGTGGTGGCTTGGGCAGGGGGTTGATGCCCTGCTTCTTCAGTTCCTCAACCTCCTTTTCATCCTCAGCACCGGCTTCTGCGTCATCAGCCAGCATCTGTGGGGACAGAGGGGACAGGGTGTGAGCATCCAGTGGCACCCATCACAGCTAGGCGAGCAGCCCTGTCTATGCAGCAGTCAGGCTTCCTCAGAATCAAACAGCTGTAGCCAGCAGTGTCCCTTGGGCGCTGGTCCCCAACAACACCCAAGGCCGAGACCCCTCAGTGGCCTATCACGTGGTGCCGTCCATCAGCCTTGACACTGCTCGCTCTGAGCTGGCCATCAGGAAAGAGATGAACTTCTCTGCCCCAGGGTGAGGTGCAGGGGACCGCTCTGGAAGGAGTCCAGGAGGGAGGCGTCCCTAGGTGCGAATGACGCCCCATGAGCAGTACCAGCAGTGCCAGTGGGCGGGCAGAAGGTGAGTTCTGGGCTGACCTCCTGCAACATGACTTCTCTGCAACAGAGGCTTTAGCACCACTGTGGCGGGAGTGCACGGATCTGGTTCACTGTGGGGTTTCCTCATGGCACCGAAAGCTACCCTGTCCAGTTCAGGGCATCAGCGTAAGGGGGGACCCCTGGTCACGTTGTTGTCAGGTAGTCGAGTCAGCTGTGACTCGCAGTGACCCACCAACCTGAACCTCCCATTCCTGCACCATCCTCACGACCGCTGTCACACCCAAGCCCGTTTTTGTAGCCACTGTGGTAATCCTCTCCCTGGCTATGGAGCACTTGGCACAGAGCTGTTTGCAAGGAAGACGGACTACTGATGTAAATCATACTCTAGGCTTCAAAATCTAGTACTAATAATAATGTCCACTATTTTACTAACTTTTTGTATCAATTAGGGAGCTCTGGTGGCATAAGAAGTTGTGCTACCCTAATACTTCTCTGGTGGTCTGAACCCACCAGCGGCTCCTCAGGAGAAATAGGGGCAATCTCCTCTCGTGTGAGGTCCAGCCTCGGAAACCTGCTGGAGGGTCAGCTAAGTTGGCTCTGACTTGATGGCCATCAGGTGAGTTTCTACCTAGTGCTTGCTGACGGGACACTTGGCTATTGGGTTAAATGAAACATACCACTAAATTAATTCCATCTGTTTTCTTTTACTTTAAAAAAATTTAGTTGTGAGGAATTTTTCAGGGAAACCTGGCTTGTGTCCTAAGGGACGCGGCTCATCTGGAGCACAACTGCTGGTCACCAGCAGGGGGCAGGCATGAGCCACAGTGCTGTGTTCTCCAAATCGGAGGCGAGTCTTCAGAGTCCTTACGCAGTTAATTGAGTCACAGACAGACTCTAGTATTCCTAAGGTCCCAGGCACCTGAAAGGACCTCGGAAAAGACAGTAACTCTCTCCAGGGCTGTTTTGCCAGTGACAAATGGGGGTTGTTTCACTTTTCCTTCTACATAATGTGCCCAAGGCCCTCCACGTCACACTGACCACCATTTAGACAGTGCGGCTAATGTAGGATGGATTTGTGGAGTTAAATAACTCCTAGTAAAAAAAAAAAACAACAACAAAACTCCTAGTCTCTCTGGAGACTAAGGTGAGTCTGATACAGGCCATGGTTTTTGCAATCACTTGTTATGCATCAGAGAGTTGGACAATGACTAGGGAGGATAGAAGGAGAATTGACGCCTCTGAGCTGTGAGAAGAGTATTGAATTTACCATGGACTGCCAAGAAAACAAACAGATTCATCCTAGAGAGGGTTAAACCAGGCTGCTCCTTGGAGGCAAGGATTCTGGGGCTTCGCCTGACATACTTTGGACATGTTGTAAGGAGAGACAGGTCCTTGGAGAGGGACGTCATGCTTGGTAGGGTAGAGGGACAGCGCAGGAGGGGAAGACCCTCTATGAGGTGGATTGATTCAGTGACTGGGGTAATCGGGATGAGTGTGTCAGAGACAGTGTGACTGGTACAGGATAGAGCAGGGTTTAGGGCTGTTGTACATAGGGTCGCTATGAGTAGCAAACGACTCGACGGCACATAACAACAACAACAAAACATTCCGAGAACTACAAGTTCTAGAAGGAGCGTCTTTTAAAGTTTTCTCTTATCCCATTTGACCCTTGCAGGCACCTCAGGAAACTGTACCGAGGCCTGGCTGGGGACCCCTCAAGTCCTACATCCAGATTCCCAGGGGGAACAACAGAGAGGAGGATGGATTTCAAATGCTGGCTCCCAGAAGTGTCCCCGTCCACAATCTGCATTTCCCTGGGCTTCCTCTACTGCCTAGCATAGTTCCTCCGTCATTTTGCCAGTACTGGGCGATGTGCTGCCCTGGTGCACGAAGCCATCCCACTAGTACTGTACATCCAGGCAGGGTCACCCACAGTGGACAGGTTCCAGCGGTGCTTGCAGATTAAGACAAAGAGGGAGGACCTGGTAATAACATCTCAAAAAACACTAGCCACTGGAAATTTTAAGGTTTGTTAACAGAATACTACTGTCCGTCATGGTATGAGAAGGTGAGTCTGCTGGGCTGAAAAGGCACTGAATACACACAGCGATACCCACAGAGCACACCGACAATCACAATCAGAGCGGGACTAGGTGACATTTCATTGGTCGCAGAGGCGGCCGCTGTGAGATAAAATGACGGCAGCAAACAACAAGTTCTAGGTAGAAACACTGGACATTTCCATCAGAATCAAACTGTCCCAAGTCTCTCCCTCTGCATATCTGGTGGGTATTCTCTAAGCCACCGCTAAAAACCCACAAAATACAACAGAAGACACATCGGTCAACATTCTTCTCACAGAGCTGCCCCACAACAAGTGGAGCTGGTGAGCAGGTAGTTAAGTGACTGGCTGCTAAATGAAAGGTTGGCAGTTTGATTCCACCAGCTAGCAACTCCTTGGAAGAAAGTCAAGGCAGCCTGCTTCCAGGGAATCCTAGGGGCACTTCCACCTTGTCCTACAGGGTCACTACACGCTTGAGGCACCTTAACAGCAATTTGGATTTGGGGTGTTTTAGTGCTATCCCTCACTGCCCTGGCCAGAGATAACATAGACTTGGGAGCCCCTCCAATTTCCCTGCAGTAAAGAATAGTTCCAGAACTCTCCTGAAAACGGCCCAGCCTGGGATCCCAATACAACTAGGACTCCAATCCCCGCAGGACAGCAGGTGGCACCCACCTTGTCCAGGAGTTCCCTGGTCTCCTCTGTGAGCGGGTCGTGGGAGAACATACAGTCGTCCCCGTTGATGCAGTTCCCTGTCGTGTGGTAGAGCTTACATGGGAAATCACGTGCACAGAAAATTAAGGGAAACATTTCATCTGTGGACCCCACTTGAGGAGAGAGCCCGTCTTTTTCAGAAATGCATAAATGGGAGCTCAAGGTGGCACAAGAGGCAGATGAACAGACCTCAAGTGATCCTCAGTTTTGAGCTCCCCCCGCCCCCCACCCCATGCTGGCCTGGGAGCTGTGTCCCCGATCCACAGTGGCAATGAAGTTAGGCGACTTGCCCAAAGTGACACAGTCAGCTGGAGAAATCTCAGAAAGCTACCAGTGAGTTTTGGGAGCATATGTGAAGAACACAGAGAGTATGTATGTACACCTCAGTGTATTCATCTGGAGAATGGGAACAGCAGCCTCAAGCAGCAGGGTAAGTGAGACATAACACACAGTGCCTGGCATGGAGGCCCATGGTCACTGCCACTAAGAGGAGGTCTCATCCCTTCCTTCAGGCCAGATGTGGGTCATGGCAAAGGATATCATGCATGTAGGGGCAGTTCTCAGCACGGGCGCAGAAACCAGTGATGTAAAACTTGCAGAGTTCTCGCTTCTTTGGTAGTTCAATGTCATGGCTGAAATTGCAGTGATCTCCCTGGAAGAGAAGTGGTGAGGGGAGGTGGAGGCTCAGTGACACAGATCACTATCAGTGCAGGAAGGGGAGGGAATAGCCTCGGAGGGGGAGACCCAGAGGAGCACAGCCTCAGGTCGCAGCAGCCTCACAGTGTCCTTCACCTCCCTGCCTCCCATCCCAAGCCTCCTCCCAGCTCTTCCTGGACTTCTCTACTTTCACTATCCTCAACAGTCACTTCTGTAACATACAGAAATCAGTGTGAGTCGCCTGCCCAGTATCATCACAAAATTTGGGGAAGGATGCAAGCAGATGAAAATACTTCATTTCCCAGCCTCTCCAGCATTTCTGAACAACTCAACATTAGCAAATGCCTCTGGGGAGAACAATATTGTCTAAATAAAATGAACCCTTCACCCAATTTTATTCTTCCCAGTTTGGGGGTGCGAGGCCCGGAGGCACAGCAGCCACCAAGCAATCATGGGGTTGAAAGGCACATGTGGAACGCAGCGGGTGGGATGGCGGGTGGGAGGCGGGTGGGCAGCAGCCGGGCTCTCTCCGGGTGCCTGTGAGTGCATGGCCCTTACCCATGTGCAGCGCCCTTCCACGAAGTACTTGCAGATGACTTTGCCTTTCTTGTCCGACTGCTGGTGGGGCTTGTCATGGTCGCTCCGTCGGTAGTTACCCCCACCGCTGTCCTGTTGGGGCACAGAGCAGGGTGGAGTGAGGAAAGGGACAGGAAGACAGAGTGGACATGGATCTGAGTGGACTGACTGACAAAAACCTTGGTGGACAGAGAGGTGTGTTCACTTGACAGGAGTGTGTCTGTGTGACAAGGACATTTTTGGACAGGTCACTGCCTACAATGAGCTCTGTGAGGGCAAGAGCCCATTGCTGTCAATGGTCAACAGTGGTGTCAATATCTGTACATGCAGAATGTGGACAGGTAGAGCTGGCTGTGCATATTTTCAACAAAAAATGAAAAAAAAATTACTTTTTCTAAAAATATAGAAAAAAAATTTTGTTAGGATAATTATACTTCTATATGGCTTTCTCTTCCAACAGAAAGGAAAGATTCAATCTCAATTACGAAAGAAACACATCCAGGTAGGGGTGCTGGCCTAGCATGGCAGAGCGGGGCAGCGCCTACTCACGCCCATGTCCTCGTCGTAGTAGTCGTCGTCATCCATGCCCTTATTAAGTCCTCCACGGCTCCCTCCACGGCCGCGGCCCCGGCCCATCCCTTTGCCTCGGCCTCGGGAGCCCCGGCCTCGGCCTCGACTCAAACCTGTGGGGTGGAAAGACAGCGTCAGTGCCGGCGCTTAGCTGGTACCAAGACCCACAGCTGTCAAGCAGAGCACCCAGCAAAGTCCGTCAGCTCCCAGGCCGTGCCCACCTCGTCCTCGGCCGTCCTTGGACCTGCGGTACTGGTTCAGCTCCTTGGAGTACTCGTCATAATCGTCCTCTCCCATCGGCTCCTCATTGTCTCCATACTGGGATTTCGGAGAGAAGGACGGAGGGGGGGGGGGTTGTCAATAGGCTTCCTAGCTGGACCCTCCCACACTCAGCCCTGGTGCTTTACTCCGGAGGCCCTAACTCCATGGTCAGAGGGCTGGACTTCCACCTGCAACCCCCCACCACCACACCACACCTAAGGAGTCTCTGAGTTTGGGTGCCTCTCATCTGTGTGTATGTACATGTGAGGGAGAAGGAGGTGGTTTGAAAAAAGGTTATAAAATGTCTCACGAGGACAGTGAGCATTCTCCCAAGGATGAGAACCGAGGCTTGGTGGGGGCAGGGGTGGAAGTGACTGTTCTCTGCCCACCCTTCTGTTCTTTTCCATTTATCCACCCTAGATCGTAAGTCACCCTGCTGAAAGCAAGGCTACCCACGCCATGTGCTTCCACCTCCATCTTACAGGTTCCCTCTATGATATCTGCACCCCAGAAATCCCAGCCGCCACCCCAGGAGGGCTGAAGGTGCCTTCACCTCCATCTCCTCATCGTAGAAGTCCTCCTCATCCTCCGGGTGGTCTCCCACGCCCCGGCCCCGGCCTCGGCCGCCCCGGCCCATGACTCGACCTCGAGACCCTCCACGGCTTCCTCGGCCCCTATAGCCTCGGCCACGGCCTCGGCTGCCTGTGGGGAGATGCACAAATGTTAGCAAGACCAGAAGAGGATCCACTGCTGAGACAAGTCAACCATGGCTTGTCCTGAGATCAATCACTGTCCTCCTCTTCCAGGAAGTCTTCCTGGCTTTGGCAGACCACACGCAGGCCTACTGTAGTACTTGTGAGTGCTCACAGGGTGGCGTACTGCCCCTCACCACATGGAGCTCCTGAGAGACCTGACATTTGGCTAGTCCAAACAGAGACATCATGAGTGGAAACATGTATCAATTTCAGAGACTTATCACAAAATTAAAAATACTGTTATCTGATTAACACAATGCTGTGAGTTTGAGTCAGCTCAACTCTTGGTTGATGACCTCAGTGATCTCAATTCAACGCACTGCCGTTGAGTCAGAACCAAATCAGAGCTGACCCTTGGCAGGTTTTGGGAGGCTGTAAATGTCACGGGATGGGAGGACTCCTCTTCCTCCCTCACAGCCACTGGTGGATCCAGATTTTGATTAGCTTAAAGGAAGTATTATCAAGATGATGTTTACATCTCCTCTATTTCAGTGTGACAGTGGCCTCAGTAGCAATTGTGAGGATACAGGTTACTACGAATCGCAGCCAACTCAACACCTAGAAAATGAAAGGTCACACAGTGCTGCACATGCTGGGCCCCCAGGACATTTGGCCCCAAAAGCACCCCAAGAGAGGGGCCTGTTCCAGGCAGGTGCATAAGAAAGACTGCTGACGTTAAGACTGAACAGCCACCAAGGCAAGCTGGGCCAGGGTGGGAGGCACAGTAGGGTAGGCCTGCTGAGCTGGAGGGTTCAAGGAGCCAGCTGGAATGGGTACATCTTTGTGGCAGGAAAGGGCACCAAGAAGTCAGGCTGGGTCATCCTGTCTCAGCTCCTCCCTACAGTCCTCCTAGGGCCACAGGTCAAAGTCAAGAGGTGTGGCCACCACAGGAGGCCTGCAGTCAGCCACACCTTGCCAGGTGGGAGGATGGTGAGAGCTGGGCAGCTGCTGTCACTCACCCTGCTCTAGCCCTCCTCTCACCCCACGGCTAACCAGTCACAGCAGACAGCAAGCTCACTGGGCTATGTGCCCTACACTGATGCCCAAGGATCCCACCTGACAGAGCCCAACAGGGGTGTCTAGGTTGTAACTACGTTCCTTAGTCACTGTGCCACCACAGCTTCTGAGGGAGGCTGGGCCCTTACCCCGCTGCTGTCCAGCAGATTCCAGCCCACAACTCTACTGGACAGGGTCGAGCTGGACCACAGGGTCCACACGGCTATGAATCTCTCTCATAAGACAACACTCATAAAGCAGTTGACAGGTTCCAACTGCTGACAGCTGGGACCTCTAACCACTGCATCACCAAGGTCAGAGGGATGTTAAAATGAGGGTTCTTTTCAGATTTATTCAGAAGGCTCAAGAGAGGTAAAAGAAAAAAAAGTCCTCTATGTAACTTACTCTGATTTAACGCTACACACACTATGTATCTCACAGCACAGAAAACAATCCAAACCCAAACCAAACCCAGTCCCGCTGCTGCCTGGGTTCCAGGGCTGGGACTCTTTATGGAAGGAGACTGCCACATCTTTCTCCTGCACAGCAGCTTGCTGGGGTCAACAGGCAACTTTTCAGTGACTTCTATGTGTAACCACCACACCAGTACGTGTCCTTTAAAAATGATCCATACTTTGGGGCAATGAAGAAACCAAACTCTAGGGAGCTTTGGTGACCTAGTGGCAAGAAGCTACACTACAATCCCAGAGGTACATGGTTCGAATCCACCAGATGCTCTGCTGGGGGAGGGGCAATCTCCTCTTGTACCAGTCAGATCCGACTTGACGGTACACACACACACACACACACACACACAATATAATAAAGTAAAATTAAAAAAAAAAAGAAAAGAAAGAAACCCAAACCCTGTGAATACTCCCAGCAGCCTGTCTGCCCTTACACTAGCCTGGCTCCATCCCAGCTCAGTCCATCCCCCAACTCACAGGTCCCAGGGCATACAGTCTACCCTATCACCCGCACATCCCCGAGCCACACGGGTCACCTCACCCCCACAGGTCCCCAAGCCACATGGTCCACACCACTACCCACAGGTCTCTGGCAACACGGGCTACCCCACCACCTGCAGGTCCCTGGGCCACACAGTCCTTCCCAAGGCCACAAGTTTCTAGGCTACACCTACTCTTCGCTTCATGACCCTGAATCTCTTCTCCTGGGCTGGAGGCTCCAGGAGAGGGGGCCCACCACCAGGGTATTGCCTGGCACCCAGCAGACACTCCCTTGCTTACAGAGGCCCTGGCCCCAGCCCCAGCTCACCTCGGCCCCGGCCGCTGCCCTCCTTGGCACGCCGGTACTGGTTGAGTTCTTTGGTGAAGTCATCGTAATCCTCTTTGCCCAGGTCCTCCTCCTCGTCCCCCTCATACTCTCCATACTGCTCGTTCTCGTAGTCCTCGTACAGGCCATAGCCCTTGCTGTCCAGCTTGGAGTAGGATTTCTTGGGCAGGGATGGGGGGTGAGACGAGCCATATTGCTGGTGGGACTGCCGGGCCCAGAGAGAAATGGGGAGGAGGGCTGAGTTGAATGCCTGACCCCATGAGCCCTACTGTTCCCCAAGTAGACACATGTTTGTGGGACTCTGCAGACCTCTCCAGGGACTGACAGACATGCTTGCTCTTCACAACTTGAAAGAGAAGTGAGGTACAGACTCCATGGTCCCTGAAGAACTAGGGAGAGGGGCTGGAGGTAGAGAGAAGTGGGTGCTTCCCAGGGATTGGGGGCAGAGAGACCTCACAAACTCAAGAACATTCCTCACTCAAAAACAAACCCGAGGTCTGAGAATTCAACTCTTGGCCAGAAAGGCAACTAGAAGGATTGGCTTTACAAAGTAAACTAGTGTCAAGTTGTACTGGATGAAGACAGGTGGACAGACAGACAAATACGAAGACAGAAAGACGTGAGCTAGTTAGACAGGCAAAGAAAAAAAAACCCAACCACCCAAGATGCCAACAAAACCAATCAGCTAGGGAGCTCTGGTGGCCTAGTGGCAAGGAGATGCAACTGCAATCCCGAGGCGCACAGTTCCAAACTACCAGATGCTCTGCGGGGGAAGGAGGGACAATCTCCTCCTGTACCAGTCAGATCTGATTTGACGGTGTACACACAAAAATAATAAAAATTTAAAAAACAAACAAACAAAAAACCCAATCAGCTGCCACTCTGACCCAGGGCGACCACAACCAGGTTGGCTAATTCAGCTCTACGTGCTCTTTCAATGACTGACTTTTAGAAGTAAGACAGCCAGGCCTTTCGCCCAGGGCACCTCTGGGTGGACATGGTTCAATCACCAACATTCAGGTTGGGAGGCCAAAGTTTCTGAAAATCATTTGCACCACCTGGGATCACAGATAGGCACACATACAGACATGTCACATGCACATACAAGCATGCACTGAAGGACGCAGATCTCAAATCCTCGAACCCCGAGTGCAGGATCTGTGTGAGCCGGCTTCCACCTGCTTCCTGCATTGTGGTTACCACAGGTTTGAGGCCTGATGCTACATTAGTAGAGCAATCTCAGCTAAAATGTCTCCTGACAAATAACCCACTCGGATAAAGGCTACTGACTACAAAGCAATTAACTTTAAAACACTGCTTCACAGTGGGTGGAGGGAGGGGGCAAAAAGAAACCCAAACAAACACAAGGGAGTTGAATGAAACACGATGTAAACAAGTTATTGTATGCAAACCAAGAAAAGAACTTTTTTTTCTAAAAAATTACTTCTTGAAACTTGGATATCCAAGTTGTTGGGTTTTACTCCTTTGGCTCTAACTAATGGGAAGGAAAAAATGGTTTGCAAGCTCAAGAGCACACTGAAATTTTCACTCAAGCAGGGGGCATGGTAGGGGTGGTCTGTAAGAGCTCAGTTCCGAGCCTGCTGATGTTCTACAGAATGTCATTTTCCAACAGTGGGAAGAGTCAGCTGTGCAACTGGAACATTCAGTCTCCTCACCTGTGTAACGGGGATAAGCAGCATCTCTAATCCCACAGGATCATGTCCTGTTCTATACATGCATGCCCAGAACAAATGAAAGAAGGATGATGCAAAGGACAAAGCATGTAGGATCCCACTTCAATCACATATGCAAGAACAGAGCAGATACGTCGAGTTTGTTTGTGTGAGAGGGGGGAGTTAGAGCTTAGAGAGTGCCAATCCCTGTCAAGAAACAAAACCAAACCCAAAAACCCAAACCCACTGCTATTCACTCGAGCCACAGGGAGCCTACAGGACAGAGGAGAGCTGCCCCAGACGCCTTCTGAGGCTTTTCTCTTTCTGGAAGCCGACAGCTTCACTTTTCTCCTGGGCAGTGTCTGGAAAGAACTCTCAGCAGCCAAATGCCCTAATCACAGTGCCACCAAAGCTCCTCATAGGATCCAAAAAGCCAAACCCACTGTCCTCAAGTCAATTCCGACTTGTGGCGACTCTCCTCTGTCAGGTTTTCAAGGCTGCCCACTGCCCACCGTAATGGAGCTGACTACCACGTCCTCCTCCCGCCGAGCAGCTGACCTCTCCCCAGCAGCCTAGCACAGGTGACCGTAGCTGCCCCGGACACCGAGGATGGAAAAGCCTGGAGACTTTAGATACTGCCGATGACCACACGACACAATGAATCCATGCTGTCTAACCGTACATGTAAATGCGGGGGAAACAGCCCGGGTTTGATTCTATACACATGATTCACCACAACAAAGCAGGAAGAGCCCAGCCTGTGTCCAGGCAGCAGACTCACCGGTACATAGGGGGGTGGGCTGTACTCCCGGTACTTCCGGTGCCCCTTCTCGCTGGGGCTGAAGTCCGAGTCATCAGAGAAGTCGGAGAAGTCATCACTGGACGAAGCGTGGCGCTGGAATGACAGGGCAAGTGGACTTGGTGATTGTGCTGCACGCCAGCCAGGGCCACCCCAGGAAGGTCAGCCCCGGGACAAATGATGCTAGAACGTGCCAAAAGGCCCTGGGCTCTCTGAGAGACGGCACCTAAGGGCATCTAGTGGCACTTAAGCGTGAGCTGCCAATTTTTCCCCCAAAAAAGGGCTCTAGTCATTTTAGGGCAGGAGAACGCATCACTAAGTGTCTGCTGGGGCGGAAAAGCCACCTGGCCCAGGGCTCTGGGTGGCTGGCACACGTCCCAGGGACCTACTTTGTGCTTGGATTTCCTCCTCTTCTTTGATCGCCTCTTCTCCTTCTCCCGCTCTTTCTTCCGCTTGCGTTTCAGCCGCCGGTGGGCCTTCTCCTCATCTGAGTCACTATGGTGCTTCTCCCCCTTGTCTTTCCGGCTCCGCTCTGGCCCCCCAGAGGTGTCCTGGGTCTCTTCGGCCCCATCGTCTTCAAGTTCACCTTCTTCCAGTTCACCATCCTCCCTACAAACCAAGCCCAGAGCCCCAGTGAGTGCAGGGCCGGGGTGCTGATCTGGCCCGGGGGAGGCTGAGGGCGAAAGCAGTCACACAGAGAAAGGCCATGACCCCAAACCTGGTCCTTCCTGCCAAGGAACCGTGTCCCTTGGAGGAGCAACACTGAGGGGCTGAACCACTAACACTAAGACACATTTAACCAATACTTCTCACAGGGATCTGTGGTCAAATGAGCCTAGGAAATTCTGTCTTGGGGTCGCATCAGGCTCAATGGCCCCACAAAACCCTGAAATGCCCAGAGAGCTCTGTATCAGGGGACTTCTGAAACCCGCTGTACCACAGACGTTATCTTATCTCAGGGACTCCGAAGAGCATCTCTCAGAAGGTACAGGGGTGCCTCTGAGCTGGAGGTCATTCTGTCTTGGGGTGGTAAGAGCTGTGGACAGTGAGAGGCCCTCAGATCCCACCCGCCCTACATTAGGGACTCTGACTAGAGGGCCTGAGCTGCGGTTTGTCAAGAAGACCAGCAAACAGGTTCCTGGGGTGACCCCATGCTACGGGAAGGGCCTGCTCTATGTCTTCCCCTCCTCCTCTGACTTCAGCCCCCAAGGCATCATATCCCTCCCCTTTTTCCTGTTACCCAACTAGCTCAACTAATCTCCAGGTTCCTTCAATTCTGTCTGCCCCCTCCTGCCATTCCCGCTCCTCAGTCTTTAAAAACTCTGAATAGGATGGATGCTGCTGGTAACATTCTGGGCATCGGGGGTAGGAGTGGGGGTGGGGTGGGATGGAATGGGGGTGGGAGGGGTAGGATGGAGTGGAGTGGGGTAACCAGGTGCAGAAACGAGCCACTGGTTAAAGGACCCAGTTTCTGAGCCAAATCCACAGACACAGTTGTCACAAGTACAGAAGCTGGTTCAGAAAAGGAGAATACATTTTCCCAAGTTCTTCATGAGTGACCACACGTGGGTTTTGGGAGAGAATGCCGAAGATTCTCCATAGCGCTATTCCTTAAGATGTGGGAGGAGAGAAGACACAGCACTTGGCCTGGGGCCGAAGAGGCGAACCAGACGCGCGGAACTGGCCGCTAAGCTGGCCAGGGCGACCAGCTGCAGCCCCCAAAGCTTCTCCCAGGCTTTGCGGAAAACAAGCCAGTAATGACCTCTCTGAGTCCACCTCAAAGGGCTTTTCTGTTAGTACTCACTCCCCATTCAAAGGGCACAAATGGGCAGATGGATGGACAGCCCAGCTTAAACCCAAGGAGCTCAGAACCCCCTTCCTTCCATGCCCCAGGCAGAAGTCAAGGGCGGCTCTCAACAAGCAAAATGCTGGACACAAAGCTCCTAGCGACGTTTCAAAGGCAGCAAGGCAGGCTAGGGACTGTATGTGCCTGAGGTGACGTCCTGGTGAAGTGCATGGCTGCCCTGACAGGATGGCTGACTCCGGGTGAGGTCAACCTTCTCAATGAGTCACTGAGGTCCCTCCCAGCTGGGCGCGCGCACCGAACAAGCTGGGTGCAGGGCTCCCACTGGTGCCAGGGGTGCCTCCCCCAAGACGCAAAGTGCCTCCCAACCAAGAAAACCAAATTCTCCAATGCCAAGCTGTCACCTGGTGACATGGCACACTTCCCCAGGCCACTGGGAGTCACACCCACGCAGGGAGAATGGTCACTGAAGCAGGCCCTGGGTGGAGGCACACCCGTGAGAACCCTGAGGGCGGAGGGCTCACCACCCTTCACAGGAATGCAGGCAGGGAGGTTCAGAGAGGCAGATGACACCATGGCACTGAGCTGAGCCTCTGAGGACAAACATCACTCTCAAGTGCCCAGGGTATAAAGGGAAGCCAAAGGGGGACCTGGAGCAGGAATGCAGGTGACACTGGGCAGAAAGTATACAAAACCCTACAGCAATGTATGAGAATTCTGCATGCAAACCAATATAAAAGAATTGTTTTTTAAAAAAATAAAACAAAAAGCAAATTCAGAGCAAGTAATCAGTCACATGGAACACAATGTATATGAACTTTTGGACAGAAAACCGACATGCTCCATAAACCTCCCAATTCATTATAAAAAGTTAAAAATGCCATCAATAAAACTCAGAGCAGGGTAGTCTGGGGAAGACAAGGCAGTTGGACCCTTAGAAAAACAGACTAATAAAGCCCCTGGCTGAGCCAGAGGAGTAGGGAGATGGGCAATTTCTGATCTAGACACGAGGGCACAAAAAGGAAAGAAGAAAGAGAAGGTGAAGAATGCATGGGGACAGCCAGCCAGCAGGCAGGCAACAAGGCCAAAGCCAGGAACTGCGTGTTTTCTGATTCCAAGTCTGAGACCTCTACAATAGGGGAGACAAAGAGAGAACTGGGGACCACTCTTCGTCCACCTCCTCCATGGCCCCCTGTCCCAGAAGTCACTGTCAGCTCCCTCTGCCGATGCGACACTGTGTCTGCAGGTCCAACCCAGAGGTTTCCTCGAAACCTGACTGATGCCAGTCATATACCCTCCTGATCTGCATCCTCCTAGTAGGTCAACAAGATGCAAACAAGAGCCAAGGCCACAGAGCCATCTCCAACTGGCCGGACCAGCGTCACGGGGGAAGGAAGCAAGTGACCCATCTGAGGCTCCTACCTGGACATGATGCCCTCCACTGTCTGGACCAAGGTCAGGCGGCTCCACATCTAACACCCCTCAGAGTGACAACAGATGACACGAGAACTCCAAGAACTTTAAGATGATTCTAGAAGAAAGCCTTTGCAACGCAAAGGACAGCATCCTAATCTTCCCACAAGGCCATCCAGCGAGAGAGAGACCCCTACAGTTACTACCTGAGCTACCCCAGGAGTGGAGTTTTGGGATCCAGCAAGCCTGGAATATGCACGTTTGTTTGATGAAACTGTAGATAAATCCTTGGAAATTGCTTTGGACAGAGTTGGGAAAAGCAGAGACAGAAACAGGATTTTAAAAAGAAGAAAACTGTTGGTGGTTTATGGAGGAGACAGGGCTGTTGAGGGGGGACAGAGACAGCTGACTGACTGCTGAGTCTCAGGGCCATGGGCCCCGTCTCTCAGCAGGAGCTGTGTCAGGGTGACCCCCTACAACTGCACAAGTCCTCCCAGCGCCACGTCCTGCCTCACTAAGCTGGCTGCCCGTGACCCCAGGCCTGTCAGAGCAGTACTCTGATCCAGAGGATTCTCAGGCTGGGCTCTTTCAGGAGGGCATCACAAAGCCTTTCTTCCAAAGCTTCTCCAGGTGGACTGGAAACTCCAACCTCTTGGTTAACAATGAGCATGTGAACTATTTGTGCCAGCCAGGGACCCATCCAAAACTAAGATAAACCGACTGCTGACTCATCCACCCCAATGCAGCAACCAAACAGGGAGAACTGCCTCATAAGCGCCCCAAGTCCGTAAAGCTTAGGTGAACAGACATTCACATCTTACTACTGTGGAGCAGCTGATGGGTTTGAACCACAAACCTTTCAGTTAGTAGTCGAGTGCTTAATTCACCATGTCACCAGGGCTCTCCTTCTTACACATCCACTTATTACCTTTTGCCAGCTCTGTTCAACAGAGAACTGGCCTGGGGACAGAAGGGAGGCACCCTGCAGGCCACCAACATCACCACACAACAGTTGTAGCCACAAAACAGCCAGGTTTTGTTTAAAAACAGAGGTTAAAACTTAAACATCTGGCCTGGGGACTGAGGGGAGACACCTTGTGGGCCACAACCACCACCACAAGACGGCTAAGCGAGGCCATTTAGCAGGCTGCCAGCACAATCCATGTCAGAGTGGGATTAAATACCAGAGGGAGCTTGCCTAATAGACTGTGACATAATCCCCCAAGAAGACTGGTGGGAGCCCCATTGCACTAATCGCTGAAATCCAGACCTGCCAAGCCCTCTGGGACTAGCTGGCAGAGAAAATCCTACAGGGGCAGACCAGGCAGAGACTGAGCCATTTCAAGGACTGACTGTGAGGCCCTGGGGGGCGCAGAAAATCAACCCTGAACTGGGCTTGAAACTGACCCCCAAGAGGAAACAGGCAGAGGCTGACACTGTGCCCATAGGCAGTGCCTGGACTGGTGCCATCTGGACTGGTTTCCAAGACACTTTGGGTTCCATTTTCAGAACTCTCGTTCTGGGTTCTTCCTTGGAGGTCAGAGAATCAATGTGAAGGTCCACTATGAAGGAAGGGCCACTGAGCCGTGCGTCATACACTGACCCTGAGATATCATACTCCATGGGCTGGGCAGCCACAGCACTTGGTAAAGAAATCCTGTGCCCCCACGGTAAACTGGAACCATCCAGTCATCCAGGCTTGGACAACACACTTCCTGTTCTTTTTCAGAGCAAACAAACCCAAATGGCCACGCAGCTTCCTCAGAACAAGAGGCATGTGCTGCTGGTACCTAGGCTGGGCTTTGGGTTCCTTAACTGTAGGATGGGATAAGAGCGGCATCTACCTCAAGAGGTTGTGGGGGTTAGAACACAATATGGGTCAAGCCTATGCCAGTGGGGGCCTGGGTACAAAGTTGTCGAGGGCCACGAATCTATTCTGACTGGTCGTGACAGCACACACAGAGAATTACCTCCAGAGGGTTTGTGAGGCTGTAAATCTTACAGGAGCAGAGTGCCAGGTCTTTTCTCCAGGACACAGAGCCACCAGGTGGGTTCAGACTGACTGTGGACCTTTCAGGTAGCAGCTCAGAATACAACTGTCATACCACCAGGACAAAGCAAGGGCCCAATAATTAATTGTTATGTCCCATCGAGTCAGACTGACTCATAGCTAACCTGCCAGTGTGTTTTCAGAGGCAGTAAATCAAATGGGGAAAGACTGCCCATCTTTTTCCTGAGGAATAGTTGATTCACACCATGTACCTTTGAGTTGATAGCAAAACTCATTACCACTAAGCCACCAGAGCTTCCTTGATAAGTAACAGCTCTAGTGGCTTAACGGTAAGGAACTGTGGTGCCAAGCCAAAGGAACACAGTTCGAATCCCCTACCTG